CCCCGCCACTCTCCGTGCATCCTTCCTCCTCTTCTCTCATTCATCCTCCGCCGTATCAGCACGCTCTTCTCGCTTCACTAGTCTCGTCGCATCCCCGTTTTTGCCGCTCCTGTCTCTTGTTTCGCGTTCCGCTCTTTCGTACTTTTGTCAACAACAGATCCGTCCCGCATCTCTCTCGGCTCATACCCTCGCCTAGCGCGCATCCATCGGCCCAACATGCAGTCATCCATGATGGGCGGCACTCCCATGGCCAACGCCCCCTCCAACTTTGGCGTCGCGCCCGGGCCGTCTTCAGCCGCTGCCGCTGCGTCCAACTCGCTTCCCAACGGCGCCCTCAAGTCGCCCAATCCGCCAGGCTACTCCTCCGCCGAGGCTGCCGCAAACGCACAGGGCCTCGTCTACCCGGCCCTCCACCTCCATCCGCTCAACGACACCTTTGCGCCCAAACAGATCAGCCTCGCCCCGCCCGGTCCCAACAACCGCATCAAGGTCGGCCGTCAGACAAACGCCAAAACGGTCCCAAATCCCACCAACGGCTACTTTGACTCCAAGGTGCTCTCCCGCATGCACGCCGAAGTTTGGAGCCAGAACGGCAAGGTCTACATCAAGGACGTCAAGTCCTCCAACGGCACCTTTATCAACGGCGAGCGACTCTCGCCAGAAGCGCAGGAGTCCGACGTCTTCGAGCTCCACAACGAAGACATGGTCGAATTCGGCATCGACATTGTCGGTGACGACAACAAGACCATCATCCATCACAAGGTCGCCTGCCGCGTCTACCTCGTGCTCACCGCAGAAGACGCGCTCAGCCTCCGTCACGACTTTGCCAGCCTCTATCGCGGCGGCATGCACGGCGGCCCCCTCGGCAGCAACGGCGTCGGTCCAGGCGCAGAGGGCGGCCTGCGCAGATCCAAGGCCGGCTTCAGCTTCGACCACGTCCTCTCCAAGCTCCAGAGCGAGCTTCAGAGGAGCAAAGACACCTGGAACGATCTCGGCAGCCTCACCACCACCATGCACGACATCCACGAAACCCTCGGCGGCGGTCCCCCTCCCCTCGCCTCCGCCCCATATCCTCACATGGTTCCACCCCTTCCCGGAGCCGTCAACGCGCAGCAGCAACAGCAACAGCAGCAACAGCAGCAACAGCAAGATGAAGAGCAACAACGCGCCAAGGATGCCGAGAACCACGCCGTCAACGAAGCACACTCGGCCACCATCTCGGCGCTCCAGGCGCAACTCTCCGAGACCCAAAACTCGCTCGCCGCGCACGTTGACAAGATCCGCAGCCTGGAATCCATCCTTTCCGAGCACGACTCGATCAAGCGCGAAGTGAGCACCATCAAGCTGCAAATGGAAGAGGCAAGGCGCGAGATGGACGCCGTCGCCTCGTCCTCTGCCTCGCGCCACCACCTCAACGGATTCGGCACCATCCGCGGCGCGCCACCTTTCGGTCGCCAAGTCGACCACGACGACTTTGACGACGGCGCCAGCGTAGCAAGCGTCGAGACGGTCACCATGGACGCTGGCGGCGGTGACGATGCGTCCGGCGTGCGTTCCCTCCAACACGTGGGTCCGCGCGCCCCGCCCGACATGCCCGCCCATCTCACCTCGGAAGATGCCGCTGACGTTGAGTCTACGCATGCGCCCGAGGTGTCGTCAGCAAACGATGCAGATGCTTCGAGCGCCCTGTCCACGACCGACGCTCAGCCTGGCGCACATACGGACGACTCGTCTGCACTCACGCAGCACAACCTCGCCAAGCAGAACGGCGAGCGCGACCTGGAGCTTCGCGCGCAGAACGAGGCACTGTCTGCACGTCTCGAGCAGCTGGCGTCGCAGCTCGAGCAGGCACTCTCGCTGAGTCGCGGCCTGCAGGAGCAGCATGCGCAGGTCACCGACACGGTCAAGACGCTCGAGCAGCGCGTGCACACGCTCGAAAAGGAGGTGGAGCACAAGACGGCCACCATGACCAGCGCCAACGACGCCTCGCAGCAGTCGACGGCAGCGCTGCTCAACGGCTTCGAAAGCAGGTGGACCGAGTTCCGCACCGAGTTCGACGAGAGCTGGCGCAAGGAGCGCGAGGGCCTCCAGACGGAGCGCGACGAGCTGCGCCAGGTGGTGCGTGCGTGGGACGAGGCGAACCGCCGAATGGAGGACGAGCTGAACAACACGGATCTGGACGCGCACGCCGAAGACACCGACAGCATGGGCTCGGCCGCATCCGCATCGAACCACGACACCGCACCCTCCGACCCATCGTCATCAGCCTCTCACGCTGCGGTGGCATCGGATGCGAGCGCAAGCCGCAGCAAGCGAGGCCATGGTCGGCGCAAGCGCCACGTGAACAGTGCGCTGCGCACGTTGCTTTACGGCAGCGCCTCTGCAGGTCTCATGCTGGGTACTGGCGGTCGGGAGCCCGACGAGGAGGACCAGTGGGATGCGGCGACACGCGCGCGTCTGTCACGCCGAAGCCCGGACGAGGATGCCATGTCGACGAGCCAGTCAGTACGCAGCGTTGCCGATTCGACATCCACACGGCCGTCCACATCCACCGAGGTTACCACGCCCGAGCTCGGCGCCGACACTTGTCGAGGCGAAGCGGGGTTGGATGTCGACCACGCCAAGCACGAAGGCTCGCATCCTCGGTCGCGTCAGCTTCGCCACGCGGCGGCGGCAGGGACGGGAGAGTCGAGCCGGCACGTGAATGTGGTGGGCCCACAGACGCTGGCGGCGGCAGGCGTGGTGTTTGTGGGCATGGCCGCGTTCATATTGGCGGGCAAAGACTTGTCGCGCTTCAACGGCGCGCTTTCCGGCAAGCCTTGAGCCCACAGTGTGGGGTCGAGGTTGTATTGTTTTGTACCAACGAATATTTTCATGCCTGTTTTCGTCGCTACGTCGATACGATAGCAAAAATCATGACCGTTCCGACATCCAATGCGCACGGCAAGTGGGCGTGTGAGGTAGGATTGAAGCCAGGTGTTGGGATGGTGGGGGTTGGGATTCGTTCGGCTCCGAAGGCAGACGCGCTGAGGGTGGAAGGGTGGAGTTGGCCCGATTTTGGAAGCGCATCTCCGCTTCGCACGGACAAAGGGCAGAAAGAGAGAGAGAGAGACGCGTCCCTTTCTGCACGGGAAGCAATGTGAATTTAGCAGCGTCGATCTTTGCCTCAACACCACCGACCAACAGTGCTTGCAACTGGCACCGGCAGCTTAGATCACTCGAGGTGATTGGAACGATATGGACGTACCTATGCGCGATGCCCGACGGGGGTCAGGACGAAAGGGTGCGTCTCGAGCCTCTCGTCGTAGCGATCCCTATGCACGCGACAGCCGCCCTCAACCGTCGGCCCCTACCCAACGCGACACCTACGAAGCAGCCCCTGCGGCAACGAACACGCCTCAGGCCGGCATGTCGTATCCTCCACCCGAACTTTCCATTCGAGGTTCCAGTGGTCCAACTTGGATCATTGTCTCCAACCTCGTAGCGGGTACATCTACCGAAGACGTACGATTAACATTCTCCTCATTTGGTCGCGTCGAGGAGGTGAAACAACGGCCTGCGCCCTCGGCAAACCATCCGACGGTCTCGTTCGAAGTGGCCTTCGACAAGCGTCAAGATGCCGAGACTGCGGTGGAAAAGTTCCACGGAGCTCTTGCGGACGGTCGGATTCTGCAGGTTTCCATCAAGAAGCCCGAGGTGGCGCGCGATGCAGTGGCGCAGTTCAACCGTGCTACGGCGCAGGCTGTTGCGCAACGTCCTCGTGAAAGGGCGCCCAACCACATTGCTGCTCCTGCACCGCTGCCCTACACGCCCGCACCGGCGGCTGCGGTAGCTGCAGCCATCCCGACGGCTCCAGCCAGCATGCGATCGCGTGCCAAAGCGGCCGAACTACTCGAACCGCGCGCGAAAAAGTCGAACCAAGCCCCAGCTGCAGCGGGCACAAAGGCTGCGACTCCAGCCAAGAAGCCCGAGGTGAAAGCTCGGCCTTTGGCAGAGCGCATTCCGGAGCCGCTGGCCAATCGACTGCTCACGCCGGCTCAGGCGCAGAAACTGCGTGCGCAAGAAGCCAAGAAGAAGGCGCGCGACGAAGCCAAGGCGCGCGCCATCGCTGCCACGGGCAAGAACACGGTGCTCGGAAAGAGGCTCGGTGGCCTCCCGCTCGCGCAGAGACTCGTCCAGCAGGCTGGGACACCCAAGAGCGACCAAACCGCCATCAGAGCCGCAGCCGACAAGAAGAAGCGAAAGAAGGAGGCGGCGCGCGCACGAAAGACAGCCAAGACCCAGTCCACCGGCATGGACTTGGACTAGCGACCCTGTAGATGCTTAGCATTGGCAAATCCTTGTGTGGTTCTCATTCGCATGTCGACGTGCCGTTGATTTGATGAGCAAAGTGACAGCCGCAGTCCATCCCCACGCCGTGCAATTCCGGCTGGCTGGGCGCGACCAACGTGAGTGCGAGAGAGAGTGGAATCGCGCCTCGGCTTGGGCTTTCGGCCTGGCCCGGCGCGTCGCGTTTCCACTTTACGCCGCCCCGTCTGCGCAGTTTTTTGGGCGGAGGCGCGCGCATTCAGCAGAGAGTCGCCCTTTGGCAGATGCGCAGCAGCAGCAGCAGCAGCAGC